TAGAGGAGGCAGATCATGCAGCAGGAAAGACTTCCCCTAAAAGTAGTCCCTTCCTTTTGGTCTTGAGCAAAGGCCCCAGGTATGAGGATGTTCTGTGCTTTGGGGACCAATAGGCTGAGTAGCAAGAAATGAGTTTAGAGAGGGAGGCCAGCGCACATGCACAGAAGGCCTGTGGGAGCTGGGATTTGGCCCCAAGGGCAGCATGGAACCCACTGAAAGATTTTAAGACCAAGGGAGAAGGTCAAATTTGTGTTTTAGAAAAACCATTAAAACTGCAATGTAGAGAGCAATAGTGGAAGCATCCAGGATAGGCTGTGTTGGCAGTAGTCTGGGGGAGTGCAGACAGACAGAAATGGCAGATTTTGGAGATATTTAGACAATACAAAACTTGTCTGAGGAATGAGATGTGGCAGTAAGGAGTCCAGGATGACCCCAGGTGCCTGTTCCATGACCAGGCTAATAGAGGTGAAACCTATCAAGATGAGCATGAGGAGAAGCTTAGTTTGGGGAGCTCCTTTGCCCCTATGTCCGTGTTCCTCTGGACTACTCAGCTGCTCCCACAGCTTCAGTCATCATCTGCTGTAGACCAAGTACCTGACTTCTCCCCTGGTATCCCTAAGTGCCTCAGATTCTACATGGCTTAAACCATGGACCAGTTTCCACTAAAACACACAAACATACAGAAACTCAGTTATTCAACAGAAATTTAGTGAGCACCTACTGTATGTTAGACAGCATTTAAGGTAATAGGAATATATACCAGTTAAATTGACAAAAATTCCTGATATCCTGGGGTTTACATTCTAGTGGAGAAAAGACATAATGTAAATAAAATACATCAGAAGCCAGATGGTGACAAGTGCTATGAAGAATAAGAAGGGTAAAGAGTGATGGGCAGGGGTTGTAATTTTGGAGTGAACTAGGACAGCACCAAGAAGGTGATAGTTGAGCAAAGATCTAAAGGAGGTTAAGGATTGAGCCATACAGACTTCTAATTGAAAAGTATTTCAAGCAAAGGGAATAAAGGCAAGGGCCCCGAGGCAGAAGTATGCCTTACTTGTTCAATGAGCAAAAAGGAGGCTGGTGTGGCTAGAATGGAATGAGCAAGGGGAAGGTAACAGAGGGCACAGGAGGCCATATCACATATGGCCTTGTAGACCATTGGATTATATTCTGAGGTGGAAAATGTTGAAGGGTTTGGGCAGAGAAGAGACAAAAATTACATACTGAAACAGTAGTTTTCAACGTTAGCCACAAGTTAGAATCATTTAGGGAGTATTTTTTTTTTACTTATGATTATGTTTATCAAGCACTTACTATGTCAGTCACTGTGCAAAGCGGTTTACATACTTTTCTTTTTCCTGGCTTTATTGAAATATAGACAATTTCATTGTACAATTCAATGATTTTTTTCAATTATAGTTGGCATACAATAATATACCAGTTTCAGTTGTACAGCCTATTGATCAGAGATCCACATAACTGGCAAAGCAATCACCCCACTAAATCTAGTACACCTCTTCCCTCTTACATGTTTATTGCAACATTATTAAACATCTTCCCCATGCTACACTCTACATCTCCATGTCTATTCTGCAACTATCCATTTGTACCTCTTAATCCCTTTGCCTTTTTTTCCATCCCCCACCCCCCATCTAGTAGCCCTCAAAATATACTCTGTATCTATGAATTTAGTACTGCTTTTGTTGTTTATTTTGTTCTTTAGATTCCACATGTATGTGAAATCATGCAATATTTGTCTTTCTCTATCCAACTCATTTCATTCAGCACAATACCCTCTAGGTCCATCAAGGCAATATCTTTTTCCATCCTCTTCCTTTTAGTCTGTGTGTCTTTTAACCTTGTAGGCAGCATATGTAGGGGTCTTGTTTTCTTAATCATTTAGCCACTCTATCTTTTGGTTGGAGCACTTAATTCTTTAATGTAGTTATTTACATGTTATTTTCTTCTTAAAGAAGTCCCTCCAACATTTCCTGTAATACTGGCTTGGTATTGATAAATTCCTTTAGCTTATTTTTGTCTGAGAAACTCTTTTATCTGTCTTTCAACTCTAAATGATAGCTTTGCTGGATAAAGTATTCTTGGTTGTAGATTCTGGGTTTTCATTATGTCAAATATTTTGTGCCAAGCCCTTCTGTCCTGCATAGTTTCTTTTGAGAAATCAGCTGCCAGTCTTATGGGTGCTCCCTTGTAGGTAACTAACTGCTTTTCCCTTGCTGCTTTTAAGATTCTTTATAACCAGTGTTTTAAACTCTGCATTTGTTAGATTGCTTGACTCCATTATTCCTGGATCTCTGTTCTGTTCTCTCATATGGTTTCTGCTTCTTTGTCTTCCCATTTTGGCTGCCTTTCTGTGTGTTTCTATGTGCTCAGCAAAGCTCCTAAGACTCCCGGTCTTCTCAGTGTGGCTTTGTGTAGTAGGTGTCCAGTGGTACAGTCCTGAAAGAGATTCAGCTGTAGGTCAGGTTTAACCCCAACCTGTGTCCCTCCAGGGCCACCTGTTAAGATTCAGCAAGCAATCTCCAGATGCTGTGCTTATAGTTGCCTCAAGAAACCACACCAGAAACCGAGGCCAGCTGCCACCAGTGTGAGTCCTGGCTCTGTTAAGCAAGGAGCACCGGACTCGCCGAGGATACACCTAGATGTGGCTTGGGTGGGGCATGGATTGGGGGAGGCGGAGTTTCAGCGACTCTTCTGGGCAGAGTATCAGCTGGGTGCTTTGAAAAATACCTCTGCATGGGCCCTACCTCATATCAACTAAATTAGAATATCTGGCATGAGGTACAGACATAAGAACTTTTTGAGAATTCCCCAGCAGATTTTAATGTGCATCTAAGGCTGAGGACTACTGTATTAGGACACCTGTCTCTCTGTCTCTGTCTCTCCCCCCGGCTTTATCCACAGTGGGCTGTAGGTATACAACGACAGAGAAGGAAGTTCTTACAAAAAGCCAGGTAAGATTTGATGGTGTTTCCCACCAGGGGCCAGAATAGTAGCAATGGAGGTAGTAAGAAATGGTCAGATTCCAGTTATGTATTTGAGCCAACAGCACTTGTGATGGCTTAGATATACGTTGTGAGGAGAAGAGAAGTCAAAGTTAACTCAGGGTTGGACCAGGAGATCCTTCACAGTGTGGGCTCTACCCTTACTGTTTGGTCTTTTCCTGCTGCCCACTCCATCCTAAGCTCCAGGCACTCCTATTCTCCCTCTTGCCTTGTTACCAGTATGATCTTGTCCCTTTTTTTCTGGTGAGCTATGCATGCTGAAAACCTAGCGGGTAGATGGAAGTCTTATCAGTCCTCAAAGGCCAAACAAGCACACCTGAACATCTACTTGTAACACTGAACACATTGTATCAAATTATGTTTTAAAGGGTCTGTCTCCACTGCTGAAATAGTTTATTGGTCTATACAAGAAGGAAAGACTTAGCTCTGGGAATTGGACAGAAGTTTGAATCACAGCTTACCTAGATCCTAGCTATACGATACAGAACAAGTTACTGCACCTCTTAGCTTCACTTTCCACTAACTTACAGGACTGTTGAAAAGACTGGATGCAAGGTGCAGTAGTAATAGGGACAAATTATCAAGCGAGCTTTATTTTGGCTTCCTAAGAGCCTGGCCCATTGGTAGGACCAAAGCTAATGTACTAGAGATCACATTACATGGACGGTGGCCATTCCAGATGCCAAGGTCTTCTCTACCTGGAGGTTTCCTACTCCCAGATATTGTCTGAGATGGAAGATGGAAATGCATCAAGTGCACTGGACTGGGAGGTAGGAGCCTGAGGATCTAGTGCTGGCTCTGCCACTGGCATTCTGGGCTGCTTTGCAAGACCTCTCTGAGGCCTTATTTTACTCATCTTTAAAATGAAGAAATACTGTGATTCTCTAATTTGAATTCTCAAATCATGCCTCCTCCCTGGATATAAATCTTCAGTGACTCCCCATTGTCCTCAGAAGACAGTCCCAACCCTTCAGCACAAGACCATCCACATATTTATTTGCATCTTTCAAAAATTATTTCAGGTCTCAAATGTACTGGGCTCTTTCTGCTTCAGGGCTGCCTTGAAAGCTCTTATCTTGATCTGGAACACACCTCTTTCTCTCTTCATCACCTAACTCCTTCAGGTCTCCACTGAACACTCTGCTATACTGCAGCTGCTATAGGAGTCTGGAACTCAGTAGGGACGAGGGTGAAAGATAGAAATCCTGAATTTAAAAGTATGCAGATCATAATTAAAGATATGGGGCTAAATGAGATTACCTAAAAATCCTCTCATTTAAAGAAATGGTTCGTACTTTTTTGAATGCACATCTTCCGAAAAATCAAGTATGCACCTCCAGTATATTATAACAGACATGCACTTTAAAAACATACACAAAGATAGAAATGAAAAAGGATGGAGTTTAAAAATGTATACATAGGAGTTCTAATTAAAATTCGGAAACTTGACTTAAACTGCATAGAGGAGAAGCTGGCAAAGCAGCCACAGAAATAGAGAAAACCAGGCAAGTGGTGTCATAAAAGCAACATGATGTGTTTCAAGGACAATGTGGCCAACTGTGTCAAATGCTGCAGAGATTCATTGGATCTGGCAACCAGGAGGTCATAGTGATTCACAGGATCCTTCCAAGGCCATTTATGGGGAAGAGATGGGAAGGAAGATTGACCAGACAGGGTTGCAGAGTAAACCTGAGTCCAGATCTTTTTCTTGAGCTCAGATACCTCCCTGAGCTTCCCAACTACCTGCTTGGTGCCTCCACTTGGATGCCTCCCAGACATTGTGGAAGCAACATATCCAAAACTGACTTTATGATCTACCTTTCCCTAGTCTGCCCCTCTTTCAGTTTTTCTCATCTGAATAACAGCACCACCATCCACTCAGGTATATAAGCCAGAAATCTCCCTCTCATTCACCCCTTATGTCCAATCTATCAGTAAGTCCTATCAGCACTATCTTTCAAAATATATTAATTGGACTTTCACCACCCCTTCCATCCTAAGCCAAGCTACCATCACCACCTCGCACATGGACCTCTTTAGTGGCCTCCTGACTGGTCTCCTTGTTGCCATCCTTGCCTTCCTCTGATTGGTTCTTTACATCTTTTAAACATATAAATCAGATCCTAGCACTCTCACTTTAAAAACCTTTCAATGACTTATTGTTGCATTACAAATAAATTCCAAGTGCCTATCTGCGAGGCCTGCACTGACCGTCTGGGACTGCCTAATCATCTACTACCTGTCAGCCACTCTGGTTTTGCTTTCTCTAACTCACCCAATTTTCTCCTGCTTCAAGGATTTTGAACTGCTCTTTGGCCTGTTTTGCAAGCTATTCTTTCTGCCTAGAATATACTTCCTTCCCATTTTGTGCAGTTAATTTCAGCTTCAAATGAACTTTCTCTGCAATGTCTTTCCATCTAAAGGGGCAAACCTTCCACTGCCCCAGTTCTGCCGACTCCCTGTTCTTTTCCTTTAAGCACAGCACAACTCACAATGGTATATTTGTGTTTAGTTGTTTAAGGTCCACTTCTACTACTAAATGGAAAACTCCATGAGGGAAAGGATGACATCTGTCTTCTTCACAGTTGAATTTCCTTGTAATGTCTGACATATGATCAATACTTGATGAGCACTGGCTTACTAAATAGTGCCCCTTAAATATCTTCCAGTTCTCTACATGCCATGGGTGCTACTCCAGCCTGCCTTGCCACCTTTTCTGCTTAATTCAGAAACTGAAGACTCATTTAGCCCCATACTCCTCCATTCCCCACCTTTGTCTCTTTGTTCACTGTGTTTCTTTCACACAACAGTTTTTTTAAGATCATCTCAAGCACGGTGAAGCATTTTCTGACCCCTAATACATGATTTGAACCCCAAAGTACTGTGTAACTACAGTAGTCCCCCTGTATCCAAGAATACATTCCAAGACCCCAGTATATGCCTGAAATGACAGACAACACTGAACTCTACAAATACTGTTTTTTCCTATACACACATACCCTTGCTGAAGTCTTCATACAGGCTCAATGCTTTCTGACATGACAGGTTGCTAATGGAACGTGTTTTCTGTTCATGTCTTCTACTCACAAATTTCATGCCTTTTCCATCTTATCTAAGAACTTATCATGCACTGTAGCTTTAATTTTTGCAGTCTGAGGTAAAACAGCAAAACAAGCATAAATTCTTCCTTCTTCATAATTTCATGGATAGAGAATTAAAAGATTCATTTTCAACGTAGATCTCTGCAACCTCAGCAAATGTGTTTTTTTCCTTTAAGTCAAGAACTTTCACCTTTTCACTTACAGGAAACACTTTATAGCTTTTCTTTGACATATCCAAATTGCCAGCATCACTACTCTTGCACTTTGGGACCATTATTAAATATAATAAGGGTTACTTGAACACAAGCACTGCCAAACCACGACAGTCGATCTGATAACTGAGATGGCTACTAAGTGACAAATAGGCTGGTAATGCTGGACAAAGGGATGATTCACATTCTGGTAGGACAGAGTGGGACAGCGAGATTTCATCACACTACTCAGAACAGCGCACCATTTAAAACTTATGAATTGTTTCTTTCTGGAATTGTCTATTTAGTATTTCTGGACCACAGTTAATTGTAGGTAACTGAAACTGCACAAAATGAAATCGTGGATAGTAAAACCCCAAATAAGGGAGGACTGCTGTAATGGCACTCCTGTCCTGCCTTGCCTTAACCCTGACCTCTAGAATGAGTGCTCAATAAATTTGTGGAACGACAGGGCTGAAAACTACTACCCTACAGCAATCTTCAAATTCTAGTGGGCATCAGAATCACAAGATGAGCTTATTAGAACACAGATGCCCAGGCCCAAAAGAGGGCTTCAGTAAGAATCTGAATTATTTCAAGCATTCTTTATGACTTTGATGCCCACCAGTTTAAAAACTTTATGACAAGTTAACTAGAAGTGAACAGAATTCCCAGATCCAAAGCTCACTGATTCAATCTGATTAAAGGGAGGGAGTTCAGAGGTTGACAATCCCTACCCTTCCTCCTCCAAAAAGTTATATGAACAAAGACTCAAAAGTTCTTTATTTGCCTTTCTCTTTTAATCCCCTTTCGGCTCCAACTCTCAAAAGAGTACCCAGAAATTAAACACAAGGAAGCTCAAAAAGCCAAGGCAAGCCAGCCCAAGAGTAGAAGGCTCCCTCCCACAGGGGCCAAAGTTTGGACGCTAGGGTCTCCACTCAGAGCCTGGTAGTAAAAGCTGGTGCAGAATAAGGTGGTTCCAGAGGCTAGCAGTAACCCCGCCTGAAGAAGATACAAAGAATACAAGCTAGTAAGAAAAGGGCAGAATAAGGAGTGGGTGGGGCTTAGTCAGGGTTAGGCAAGGGGGTAAGATTACCCAGAGAGGCTTTCTGCAATGGGGCACCCCCAACAGGGCCAGGCTGTGTAAGAAGTGGTGTTTGTTGGCCTTGTCAAAGAGCTGTAAGAAAACGAGAAATGGAGGGACGTCCTAAGGAACGCAGGAGCTTGGATCCCGTGGGACAAAGTTGAACCTTCAACTGAAGTCCCAGCTTGCGTCTCCCTCAGGCACCCAAGCCTCAAGCTTGCAGCCCTTGTTGCTCCAAAGAGCCACGCTCCGCCTCTCCCCTACTTCCCCCAGAGACTCCAGACTTTGTGCCCTCATAGACTCGCAGGCAGTTACTTCACCTCCTTCCCGTAGGCATCCGGGAACCTGGCGCCTGTGGAAAGGAGAGGCAAAGGTTACTAGTCCTAACGCCCTAATATCCGGGAGGACCCAGCAGAACACTGGAGAGAAAGGGCGCCCCCAGGAAGCTTCTGACTGGTGGAAGCACGCATGGGCAGTTCTGGGAACCAATTGGACCAGGCTAACGACTTTAAAAGGTTTAGGGCTTCGTGGGCTGTCTGGTCTATAGGAGCCCCGACACTTCCCATAGACTCCGCCCCTGCACCAGACCTCAAAGGTTGCCCCAACCACAGTCCCAGCTCCATCCCTAGCCCTCTACCGTGTGCCCCGTAGGAGGCCAAGGCTAAGGCCCCAGCTCCGGACAAGGCGCCCAAGCGGCGGAAGGTGGTCCCTGGTCCAGCCATGGTAATTGGTAGTCACGCGCAGGGCAAACACCGCCCAGGCCTCCCAAGAGGCCAGCCAATCCTGAGCTCCCATGCAAATAAGGTGCACAGATGCCCAATCCGGGCTGTGTTCATTTCAGCGTCCAGTTCCTCAACCCGTTTACTTGCGCCTTTGTAAAACCTCTGCTGAGTGGCGAAGACGTGTGGCGGGCGGAGAAAGCAGAACCAGTTAGGAGCGGAGGAGCAGAGCAGTGGGGAGGAGGGCTTGATGGGGCGGTATTAGAGGATTTGCGTCACGGATTGGCCCACTTTCCAAGTTGATCGTCTCTTCTAACACCCTCCTCCCATCTCTGGCTAATTTCCAAAGATCCCGGTCCCCAAGCAAAGTTCCGCCCCTTTCTCCACAAGCTCCTCCTTTTCAGCTTTAAACCAGACCTCTCCCAAGCAGAGGCGGCCCCACGGATACCCGTCGCCATTAAACTCCGCCCGCTGTCCACATGGCTCCTCCTCCAGGTCCAAAGGCCCCGCCTTCTTCATATGATGCTCCGCCCCCTGATAGTTCACCCTCCTTCCCTCCCCACTAACCGCGAGAGCCTGGAGGGTGGGAGATGGGGAGGGGGGGAAATGTCTCCACCCCGTCCGAGTCCGCTTCGTCCATCCGTCGGTCTGTCCACTCCCGCCCTCTTGTAC